CTGATGTGCCCCAGACAACAATAAGTCAATAGTCATATTTTTTACCTTGAGCACAGTATGTGGACCACACTATATGGACCGAATTTGTTTGACCTCTATGACGCCACGCATCTCTGGGTGACTTTGAAAGAGGTGGCACGAAAAAGTTTGCACAAGTTCGCGTAAACTTAGCCCAGAAACGAAATTGTTCGCAAGCTTAAAGAGGGAATGAGTTCGAACTGCAGAGAAAGGTCATGAAAATGGCTATCTCAGTTCAAGCCCCATCAAATATAGAACGGTCCCTTTAGAGGACGGTCAAAACTTTGCTGAAATCTTGCTGATTTGAGGTTTAGGCACCACGTTACTGGGACACAGCATAACACATTTGATGCGCAGTGCTGCATATGTTTGCACTTCGACAACTAAGCGGCAAGTAAAGGAACACACTGCCGACTTCATGCCGCTATCCCATCAGTACCGGAAGAGAACTGACGAATTCGGCCCGATCATGCCGATCTGCGTCCAAAGTCTGAGCCAGTCCCAACATCAAGCGGGAGTTTTCCACAGCCAGCAGCAGGCGAAAGTTTCGGTCCTGCCGCCGAAATCCCCTAGGAGCAGTTCTTGTCGACTCGTGACAGCCTCCAGACGCCACGTGCGCTCGCTGTGACTAACTGGCTGTTGCCTGAGACGGCATCGACTTTTGGCCGTGTCGCACCGTCGATTTCGTGAGAGGTATGGATAGCATAACGCACGGTGGGATGTTCAAATCTTTGGAAACATTTAACATTCTTGGAAACCGACGGTTTTTCAAATATGCTGGCTTCTGCTAAACGCTATACATAACCTGGTTCAACCTGCTCACACCAACCACATCTTAGCGAAATCCGCGGAAGTGTCGCATACATATTGTGTATAATCTGCCAATATAGATACAACTAAAACGAATATTGAATACATTTGTTCATTATGAGACCCTACTCAGTGTATACCCTTCTAGCCTAAGCCAGCGGCCTTGTTTCAAGTTCACACCTCGCGTCGGTCAAACCACATCCGTGCGCGACACTTCCGTATCGAGGTCATCCAGGTCACGAGTTGGGCCGTGTTACGCTGGTCTATAATCGACCGGCTCGACCCGTCATCAGAACAACGCCCTCGTTTTACGGCTCCGAACACAACGGTCGCGCCCTATGGCTTCCGCGTACTGCAGAGGCGTTTGATGTTTCGCTCCATTGACTTGTGCGACGCCGGCTGAGGCTGCCTTGCTTCGTTCGGCGAAAACCAATCAGCCTGGTTTCGCTGCGTGCCTGCGGCCCGCTCCTCAAGGTTTTTGGCCTCGGCTCCACATAACACTAAACCGGTGTAAATGCACGCAGCAAGAGCGACTTTACATCGACGATTTACGGCCGGCGTACCCGGAGCTCTCAGTGTCGAGCGCGATTGGCCTGTGGCGACGCACGCCGCCGTTGGCCTGGTCAATGATTGGCTGATATCCGGTCAGTACCTACAGCAGTGCCTCGCACGTCACTCAACGCCACATATCGCAACACACGCCGCGGCTGCTTCGTCGTCGGGCATGATGGCACATGCAGTTCACAAAAGGGTAGCAGCGGCGAAGTGACATTCCGTGACCATCAACATCACGCATCTCACCAAATGATCGCGACAGAGAAAGCCACCATGAAAGGCAAACGCATGGGGCTCTAAGATGGTGCCAGTAAAAAAGGGAATATTCGTGGGAGGGGCAGGGTAGTAGCGGAGGATTTTCTTGAACGAGGAAGGGGAGGGGTGCGGTCCACCATACTTGTCGAGCGCAAGCACACCCTTCAGGCGGCTTCCATTTTGCCTCATCCAGCCACTCTTCACCCCACATAACTCCTAGATCGCAACTCTGCTGATTTCCCGAGCCACCACGCACGGCGGGATTGCAGAATGTTGCCCCATTCGGAAAGCCGCTAGCATTCGCAAACTGCGAGAGCCACTGAAGTCGACCGACGCTGCCCGCCCGCCGTCGCATTACGCGTGGGCCCACTGCCCGCCCGCCGTCGCATTATGCGTGAGGCCCACTGCCCGCCCGCCGTCGCATTATGCGTGAGGCCCGCTGCCCGCTGCCCGCCCGCCGTCGCATTATGCGTGAGGCCCACTGCCCGCTGCCCGCCCGCCGTCGCATTATGCGTGAGGCCCACTGCCCGCTGCCCGCCCGCCGTCGCATTATGCGTGAGGCCCACTGCCCGCTGCCCGCCCGCCGTCGCATTATGCGTGAGGCCCGCTGCCCCCAGCCCGACCATCGAGATCGGTGGGAACGGCTGGGCACAGAGGGAGGGCCAATGGTGCGGCGTCGCGCAGTCCCGGGCGCTGCGGGAGCCGAAAGACAATTGGCATGGAGCCAGCGCCACCCGCACGCCCAGCTCTTATCAGCGCACGGAGATGGATGGCCCCCGACAGGCATGAATGATTATTTACCATTTATTCGCGCCGTGGTCGGCACTGTGAGCGTGATCGGCGGTAATAGGGAGGGGGGGGGGAGCTCCGTGACCGACACGTCACGCTACTGCCAGCTGACCGCATTACACGTTAATGATAACCTACTGACCTGCTGCGTCGGAATGGGTGATACTGCATGCGCGTGGGGGAGCTGCACTAGTCAGGTGTGCGTGCAGTCGATACACAGGGGATGTGGCGTAACGTGGAAACTAGCGACGTCGATGAGCTGCAGTTGACAAGGCGCGGACCTCCGATATTTATCTGTTCACACGGCGTTCGCGTGCTACTTGGGCAAGGTTTTTCGAATTTCAAGCGCGTTCCCAATTTTGCATTGAGCATCCGATGACGCAGCGTTTGTTGTTACACATCAAGCACAAACAACCGCGGAGCGTTCCAAAGGCCGTGCTTCGACATTTTCTTTGATGCTTTTTTATAAAGATTTAATCCAAGCCTTTGGAAAGGATGGATTTCTGGAGCCAGCGCTCACGCTAAGCAGTGCTTGTTGTATGCGCTCTGACTCCTAACATCCGATCGCGCAATGCCAGGTCAACGGCACAATTTGGTGGCGAAAGGCTGCGCGCCGCGATGCCCGGCACGGTGCGTCCCGCCCTCTGACGTTCCTGACCTTTACCGCGACCGCTGCCACCGATCGTAGGCGAAATCTGTCTGGGGCGAAGAGGGAGAGCCTGAAACGATCCGAACCCACCCTTCCACGGACGAGGGGGGTCGGAAGCATGCGCTCTACCAAGCTGAGCCATCGGGACGGGCTTTGAAGCTGTGAAATATTTAGTTGAGTGACCAGAGGCACCGAATATACCAAACTGCTCATAGTGTGCACCCAATGCGTTCATTAAGCAAGTAGGGTGTTCTGTTATGCCATTTAAGACATCCGAGTGCATAGTTGCGAACACCTGAGTGCCCAGGGGGAATTTAGTGGTTCATTAATAGGGTCTATCCACCATGTTCAAAGCTTGGATACGCCCCTGGAACAACGACACGTGCATGATTAATGTGCATTTTAAGACTCAGAGCAAAATGCAGCTACTTAAGATGTCAACATGGTGTTAGTTCCTGTGCTCGATTTAATATTAAACACGTGTTTGCATGAGCATTCCACGCTATGTTGTTTCTGGAATTGCTATTGCTCAACAATACATCTTTGTAACACCTTACGATGTCCAGAATAAGTTTGAAATAATGTGCACTAACGTGTTCCTGAAATTTTGAAAAACATATTAAGATTCATACAACTTATAGTTTGCTTGATATTTCCTTCTGTATTAGCTTTACTGAGAACACCTGTGGCAACGTGCTAATTTTGAAGTGCTCATAGGATATATAAGGCCACGGCAAAATTATTAAAGCTCATGCCCACGTCTCACAACTGTTTCAAGTGTTTCAAGGGCGCTCGAATCAGACCTCCGAGCGGAATTAGTGTGAACAAGCCGGAGAGGAACACGGTTAACAATAACCGCTCCAACGATGATGCCGCCGCACCAGAGTCGGTCACAAAGCGAAACCGCACAGCACTAAACCGGTTTTTTACTAACCCATTGCACCGTAAGGAACATCAGACAAAACGCTTGATCTTTGATTCAGTTGAATTGCACAGCCCTAGGCGGCACAGATCAATGTTACAAGTATGCTTTCTACTGTAAGCTCAATATTCGTTCAGCTGCGTGATGTGACGCACGCGGTCGATTTGATTCATCTCCCATCTGTTCGCTCCGCCACGGACGCTGAAAGGCAGAGACGACGACGACTTTCGGCGTGATGCCGCGTGGTTATCAGGGCAATGCCGTTAGTGTTGCAGTCGTGCTGGGTGGTCAAGGACACGCGGTGTTTTGGAGCGAGAAGCACAACTATGAGAGTTGTAAACTTATCCATCCGTTGAGCAGCGCAGGTGAATGGTTTTCGCACACTTTCAGTTGTGGGATATCGCTTGCACATGCTTCCTGCAAAAATGTTTGATCCGTTGACTTCATGCCAGACATAGTCTCCAGAACACGCATACGAGGTCAGCCAAAGAAAAACCGTCTGTTTATAATAGACTGAATCATTTAAGAAAAAACATGTGTATAATGCGGACGTGGGCTTTGGTCAGTGTACGCACATAGAATTAAAGAGAACGTCTTGTTTGTTTTTTGTTTTGCTTCATGAACTGAGAAGAGCTTACCGTTCAAATATATCCCCGTTTTTCTGGACTTATCATAGTGGTATGGTAATGATATGGCGATAAAATGATAATGATTATCATAATGATATTTAATCCATTGTAATGACTTATCAATTATAAATTTAATCCAATGATTAAATGCATCCACTCTTTCACCTTTCCTCTACATATAACATCATGCTGCTCATCCAGTGGGCGTTATGTGATATTCGCTTACGTGACGGTGAGCTGTCTCATTTCACTCTGGTCTGAGAACAGCCGCTAAGTGAATTAGTCGTGGCATGGCATAACTCAATGGCTTGCTGGCGTAAAGAGGTAAATAAATTGTAGGGGTATTCAGTCCCTTGGAATGCTGTCCACTAACCGTTCATACACGACAGCAGCAAGAGGCCCAGAAGAGGAATATTCATGTTGGCCGGAGGCGCAGGCTTCCTTTTCAGTCTCTGAACGCAGTTGACTCTCGATCCCACGCTTTACTGCCGACCATTTCTTCTGGGTCACTCCATGTTGGCAACTTCAGAAGGAACGTCTCCACAGGGTGTCAGCAGGCTGACGCCCCTGGGAGTTGCCGGCCACGCCTAAATACGTCAGGCTGGTACAGGCGCGCGGTCATGGAGCTTGCGCTGGCCAGGATGACGCGGCACCATCGCAGGCTGCTGGGAATGGCTGACCCGGGCTTCGCTTCGGCACACTCCTGACGTCACCTCTATACGCAGCTCCAAGCGATCGCCAGCTGCGTCTTGGCTCAAGCCAGGTTCCGCCAGCAACTCAGCAACCGCTTCGCCAGCAAATCAGCAACCGCTCCGCCAGCAACTCAGCAACCGTTTCGCCAGCAACTCAGCAACCGGTACGCCAGCAACTCAGCAGCCGCTCCGCCAGCAACTCAGCAACGCTCCGCCAGCATCCCAACAATCGCTCCACCAGAAACTCGGCAACCGCTCCTCAGCGCTCACATGAAAACCCGCGCACCACTTCCACCGTGCGTCGGTCCTGACCGCACCGTCACTGGGGGCGGCAGCCGGGTGAGCGAGCGAGCAACCCTCTCTGCGCACACTCGAGGCGCCGCCGCCGCCGTCTAATGACGCCCGCACGTCCGGTGGGTCTCCCCCGCGCCCAATCTCGCCACTCCCTGCGGCGCCGTGCGCCGGAGCCGACTGGCCGACGTCGTCGGCGGCGGCGGCGGCGACGTCGGCGCCACGGGCAGGTGCCGCGCGGCGGACGCAGGTGCCATCGCCCGCCGCCGCCGCCCGTCGGCGCCGTTACGCTGGCGGCGATGGGTGTCGGTCTCGTCATGACTCGCCGAGGCGGCGCAGCGACGGCCACCGAACGAGCGGTGAGCGGTGCCGACGAACCGCGACGAAACTCACGCGGGGTTTGCGGGTGATTCGCGGAGGCTTTGACGCGTGTCTGAGTGGGATGATGCCGGCTTTTGGTAGGACGTGGAGTGCGAGGAGTTCCCTCCGCACTCGCCGTGCCTCGAGATGTTGCTATCAGATTTCGCCGAAGAAAATGGCTGGGTGGACAAAGTGCCGGACAAGGACAAGCATCTGCCAATGACACAACTGGGCTGTGACGTAGTCAGCGCTGGGCATCACGTGCAGTAGCCGTGCCTGTTTGCCAGCATGTAGTGTCCACCTAAGTCGAGTGGTATTTGCTCAGGCATGTGTGTCAGGTGCTGCTTTGTAGTATGCACCCCTTACACCGGCACGGTAAACAGCGCTGTGCTGCGGCATAGCATAAGGACGTCCAGCTATAGTCATGAAACGTAAAATCAACATCATGGCGTGCCTTCGCGCCCTTGTAAAAATCGACCCCGGCATACCCCTTGGATACTTTGTGTAAACAGCACGGATAATTGCATACCGAAACACAAAGGCTTCTGGTTGGTGAAATCTGCGACCAGACTAAACTGGGATGAGGTTTGAGCAAACAATTCGTCTAACGATTTTCACTATCTTGCCTTTCCTTCCAATAAGGTGAGCACTATCCATGCTTAGTTTAATTCCAAGGCTATACCATCATTCCAGGTGGAAATTCAAACAGCTCAGCACACATTCAGATCTCAGGTTAGCTACATATGTTACGTAACAAGCGTGCGGTTTGAACTGAAATGGGATGGTGCCGAGCTGCGCGACAAGCGAATGTCCCGGCAGAAAATCAGACTGCAATAAGTATCTCCTCACATGATTATATAACATACCGAAAAGACACAGGTCACCATGAGCACTTTTGACTGTAGCGGCATTGCTTGAGACGGTTCTAGCTCACCAGCCCCAGAAGAAACTTCCACACTATGAATAGGCGATCAATAAAATGAGCGAATGGGCAATAAGAATGTGCTTGAATGGGTGGTGTTGCCTGTAGCTAAGTGGGCGAATACCGCTGTTTGAGCTGTTGAGCAGCGGTTCCTGAGTAAATGGCAATTAATTTAGTACGCTGTAATGTATTCCCGCCCATTTCCCCACCATACATATAGCGGATGCCGTTCATGGACAGTGCAAGTGTGCACAAACATCCTTAATTCATTCGTGATTTCATTTATCCGATGACAAACGCTGGTGGCTTGCATTCCCGTCCCTTCTGTTTTACTTTTCCGCTACCTGTCTTCAATAGTTCGGTTATTAGCTTTACCGAGACGACACGAAAAGCAGCGATGCCGCAGATAATGTGCCATCGTCCCAGGTGGACGCAGGGGAGCTGAGTGCAAAAGAAAGCAGTGCTAAGCAACCTTCAACAAATAACTCAGGCAAATAGGTTATGGCGAGTTTGGAAACTCTCCCAACTGCACCACCGGATGAACGAGAGAGTATTATTAAGGGACTGTATGTATGTCGATGGCTCGCGGACAATTCAACCACTCGTGAGGTAATCAGCTGGCTGCGCTTCTTCAGTAACGCATTCGTGTTTCCATCAACCACTCTGTGTATAATAACACTTAATGCTTCGCATGTCGTGCACAAAGCATAGATTATCACGAACAGAAGTACATGATTGTACTTATGGTGATGAACACCAAGTTTTTACGTAAAAAAACAGCAGGACGAAGGCATACAAACAGCACGGAATATTCCAATCACGGCACAACGCATACAAACACTTCGATAAGCTAGCAATTTGCTGATAACTTATGGCTCAGAATTGATTTCCAGCTCTCTTGCCTGATGCGCACTTGGCCGGCTCTCTCTGCCCGGGGGTGGGAAGTGAGTCTGACTCCGCCGTGGTCAGCACCTGCCCGGAGTGGTCCGGCCGGCTCGCTCTGCCCGGGGGCAGGAAGTGAGTCTGACTCCGCTGTGGTCAGCACCTGCCCGGAGCGGTCCGGCCGGCTCGCTCTGCCCGGGGGCAGGAAGTGAGTCTGACTCCGCCGTGGTCAGCACCTGCCCGGAGCGGTCCGGCCGGCTCGCTCCGCCCGGAGGCAGGAAGGGAGTCTGACTCCGCCGTGGCCATCACCTGCCCGGAGCGGACCGGCCGGCTCGCTCTGTCCGGAGGCAGGAAGTGAGTCTGACTCCGCCGTGGTCAGCACCTGCCCGGAGCGGACCGGCCGGCTCGCTCTGTCCGGGGACAGGAAGGGAGTCTGGCTCCGCTGCGGTCAGCACCTGCCCGGAGCGGACCGGCCGGTTCGCTCTGTCCTGGAGCAGCACCGGGACCGCTCACGCTGGCCACTGGCCAGCGTCGGAGACGAGCTGTTGAAGCACTAGTACCAGCCGATGGAAGTCGTCCCGGTCCGTCGTATGAGATTGTGTGCTGGGTTCTTTTGTTGGCAAACATCAATGACGCCAGGCGCATGCACCTTTTGAATCCAAGGAATAAATGCTGTCACCAATGAAAATAACCTTTTTTAAAGACAATCAAAGCACATTTCCAGAAATGAAAATGATACGCATGTTTGTTCTCTCGTCAAAAATAAGGTTTCGGACTGCATGTGGCGAAGGTCTTTCAGAGTCGCGCCGGAGGGTCGGAAGAAGATACGGAGGATACACGGAAGATACAAGGAAGATACCGCAAGATACACGGAAGACACCGGAAGATACCGGGAAATCACGGAAGGTTCCCTTCTCGGCTATGTCACGGCAAGCTATCAGGGCTCGCCAAGTCTACATTCACGGCCAGCACTGCCAACGCCCGGAGGAGAACGCGTCGCTCGATCTGAAACACGCCCGGTGGAAAGCCAGGGTTCAGGCTTTTCCGATTCCATTCATCTGCAGCGCCTCATCGACGACGGCACTACAACAGAAAAAGCGTCGCTTGGATGCTGGTTTTTAAATGAAACCATGTGATCACCAAACACATGCATTCCAGATTTTGTAAAGTTTACCACGGCGGAATCAAATTAAAAAAGTTTACCCCGTGACATCACACACGAGGGAGGCGACGTTCAATCATAAGATACAAGATCATTATTGTTACATCCAGCCTTATCAAAGACAATCTTGAGGGAAATAATGTTTGGTGTACAACAAAGAAAATCAGAAAAGTGCTGACAAGAAGCGCGCATGGATGACTAAAAGAGCATAATCTCTGATTCGCCGCCATGCTAAAGGTATCATAACCAGATAAGAGCTTCATCGCGAGTCTGTCTAGTACGTTCCATCGAACCTTAAAAACAAAAATATGGGTTGCTTTTATTCACAGTCTATACAGTCTTTGAACATTATTATATTATCCGAACTGAACTCTTTGAGGTACACCAAGCGGCTACAAGTGGCTAAAGCCTGGCATATTTCAAATGAGAGAATAACATCATTTACATCACGTCTGACAAAAAAAAATTGTTCGTCTGGCTGAAAGAGAGCCTGCGAATCTCCAATTACAAACCATTTTCCAGACAGATTGGTGTGTTTCTAGCCGTTTTGTTGAAATCGTAACTGAGACAGCTGTTTTTGACGAAAACTCATTTGTACCAGTTCAAACGCCGGCTATTCCGAGGGCCAGCTGTCCCGTATCGAAATCAAGCGAAGACGGGTACGTCCCGCACCTGTGTCCATGACCACCCAGCCCGTATTTGTCGGGCGTATACGGTACCTGGAAGCGCCGTGATGCCGCGCTTCGTTCATGCTGTCCTGTTGGCACCAAAATACCATGAAACCACGCAGCACAAGGATAATGAACGGCTCATATTTGCTTTCCGCTAAGCGTTGCCGAGCACCACCGTTGCTGGAAAGGCGTTCACGCATAGCTCACACGCACGCCCTGCGGCGTGACCACGGGAGAACAGGCGACGGCCCACATCGGGCTCGTGCTACAGCGGGCCAGCTCATCGGCAGCCGCCGGGCACAAACACCGCAACTGAGATCATTAGGTCGCCATCCATAGGTCATCACTAGGTCGCTATCAATAGGTTATCACTAGGTCGCCATCTATGGGTCATCACTAGGTCGCCATCTATGGGTCATCACTAGGTCGCCATCTATAGGTCATCACTAGGTGGCCATCTATAGGTCATCACTACGTCGCCATCTATGGGTCATCACCAGGTCGCCACAGCCATATAGATGGATTTCGCGCTGAGCCCGTCCTGATCGGCGAAGAGTTCGCCGTTCGCCTGGTCGGCGAAGTCTTTGCGACCAGGGCGACCGTCTGCGCAGGCACACCACGAACTCGTCCATGACACCCACCATGCCGACGCGCGGGATCATCTCAGGCACCAGGCAAGGTATCAGGCATCATCAGACAAGGCAACCCATGCTTTGTGTAAGACGTCCGCCTTCCAGCAGCTGCTCCTATCAGACTCGGACAGGGGACGTTCGATGTCCAGCCAAACCCACGAAACTTCGCGAGACAAGGGTGCGGAGAGCCACTTCACTCGACGTCTTCGCCCACCGCCTGCACGTGCGGGCCAACGTCGACTCCTCCTCACTGCTGCGAGTGTGTCGGCTCCCGAGGGAGCACGTCTGCCTGGCTTTCCCCCGCGTGGGGGACGCAGCGGCTGCTGCACCGCGCGAGATCGGGCTCAGGACCGCGCCGGCTGTGATGACATCCGCACCTCGCGCGTCGTAACCCGGCGGAGGGATCCCGCGGTGAATCTGGCCTGGCCAATTCGGAGGCGGCAAGCAGATGGCGCGTCTCACGGAAGCACGTGGTTTCAGTCCCTCGCCAGCGAGCCCTG